GTCCCTATCCTGGATATGAGTAAATTTGCTTACTGTTGATTTAGGGAAACAAAATAAAAGATGAACCAAATCCTATTTCAGCTTTATACACCTACGTGACAGTTGTGCATCCAAATGTAGCCAGAGAAATGTCATTTTGGGGTCTTGCCCTGGAGATGAGAGGGCCCAGATCTACACAGCTACTTGTGGATGCATAAATAGTGCTCAGGCACATGAAGGTGAAATACAGTTTGGCCCTATAAATATTAGAACGGTGGGGAAATACTTTAAGGATGTCCGTGGAGGAAAAATCCGAAGTGGTGGTATAAAACTGAGCAAATGAAAAAATTCCCAGAATAGCATGAGAATGTTTGCTTAAAGTTTTGTTGGGCTGCAAAATCGTCTCCCACAGAATGGATAGGATAACGTATCTGTGGAATCATAAGAGCAATGACAAAGAAATCGGCAAGATTGCCTAATATAGTAGAAGTTCTTTCTATTTTTTTATGATTTCACATAGAGGAAAGAAAATTGATTGTTACTATAGAGACCATTTTTGCCTATGTCAAGAGGAGAGAAATTTTATTTTTTCTGGCTTTAAGATATTTGAGAGAAAAAGGCTTAAGAGAGGTATTTTTTATTTTGAAAGTCTGTATTTAATGGTACAAGAACACCTACTGTTAAAACTGATTAAGAAAAAGTAAAATGCTTCTGAGGGAATTACAAAGTCTGAAGACACTTCATTTTGGTTATTATAATATCTGCATGAGTGTGGTGCTGACTTGAGCTAAACCAAACTCAAGCTTGCTGAAGCTCTAGAAGTCCTGAAAAAACACGAGCACCACAGTCTGTAAAAGAGATCTTTTCTGTTCCTGGCTGAGGCATATAATGCCTATTACCAGTGAAAGTAATAAGGGTCTCCTTCAGAGAAACCCACACCTTCAAAACATGCAAGAGCTCACCTTATCCTCAAGAAACTACACCTGACCCCTGAAAACCTCACTACTTCCCATCCCTTACTGAAACAACTGCGAAAATTGTAACTACCAAGTTTCAACCACACATGACATTAGCAAACCACATTAAACACTGACTTCTCATGGACATAGACATGGGGTAGATATCCATAATCAGACTCTGCAGCCGCATCCAGATGTGCATGGATGTTTAGTACCCTGGAGACAACTAGCAGTGGTGCACCTTGTGCTGACACTAGCTGTCCCCAGGGAACATCTGTCCCACATGTGCTCTAGCGTACAGAAAGTTACACTGGATGGGGTAGGGGAGGCTGGGGCCAGCACTGGGCTAGTCCCAGCAGCTATACCTGGGGTCCTGGAGGCCTCCCAGGGCTGTAGCAGTGTCAACCCTGCCACTCGGAGCCTGGCCAGCAGTGGAGTGCAGCTTCATCTGGCCAGGCTCTGGCTTAGGGCAGCACATGCTGCCACCACATGCACCATTCCACTTTTTTGTGCCATGGTTTTTTTTGACCCATGGACATCCCCTTAAAATCTGGCTTCTCTTCACGATCTCTAGGGCCCGACACATTACATTTATTGTTAAATTAACAGATTAACTCCACAATAAATTTAGACATGCTACACATACAAAGTAATTATCGCATGATAAAAATGGCCAACTAGCCACAAAGATGTTGCTTGAAAAACGCAGACCATTTTTGTGCTAGGGCAGGCTGTTCTCTTCCCCCACACTTCCGGCAGTGGGACTCTCTGGGCGCAGACAGAAGTGCAGCTCCCCACTGTACCTCAGACTGCTTTGCAGGAAGTGTTCTGAGTTACAATGATGAACCTCAGGACCAAACAGAAGTTCACTGTTGATTCCGGGGGGAGGGGAATATAACTGCTGGGTGGGAGCCTGCAGCCAGTTTCCCCTAGCAACAGCCCCTCCTCCCTCCAAGTCTGTCACTGTTTTCATAATGGGAGTGGGGGAAAGAAAGCAGACAGAGCTTGTTCTAGGGGTTCCCCAGCTGGCATTGGAGGGTGGAATGGGTGAATTGGAGTCCCCCCCATCTCACAGGGGGCTTCAATATACCTGCCCCACCCTCCAGCATGGTCTAAAAAAACCTCAGACCGAACTTCTCCGGTTCCCTTTCCCCCCTCCCATTCTGAAAACAGTGACAGGCTGACAGACACAAGTTACTGAAGACATTCTTCTTTGAATCATCTTCATCTGACCCCTCATGCAATGAGAGTTCAGATGTTTTCCCAATTGGCTATTTTTGAAGCAGTCTGAAGCTCTGCACTTGTGTTTGGTCACAGCTATAGGCTGCTTTCTGTGGCCAGATCAGGCAAAAATTGTCACGTCTGTCTGTGTTTTCTGTGACTCATGCTGACCTCTGCTGTCTGAGGGTGCCTTAGCAGATGTCATGATTCACTGCCCCTTCTCCCTTTCCTCAATCAGCCTTCAAAGCTGCTTCTTTAAGGAGCCATTTGCACCTCTTCTCTGTGAGAAAAAAAGTGTATTGAAGACAATGAGTATGTCATGCTTTACTTACACTCTGGTAATCTGAGGGAGAGGGAATTTGTTTGGAAAGCTGCCAGTACTGACAAGATGAGGAGAGAGGAAAAACACATACACCAAAGCACCTCATAAGGTGAACCAGGAGAGTTTGAGCCCCATCACTTCTATCCCCCATCCAACCTGCCCTTTTCACAAGTGTTCCCTGCTCTGTGCAAGGTTTAGGGGAGAAGCTCCTTCACCCAGGGGGAGCTCACAGATCATTTCTCATTAGCAACACAGCTGACGGTGTGGAAGGAGGGCTGACAGCCCCAGACAGCAGCTCTCCAGCTCCCCTTTCTGGTGAGTGCTGGCAGAGCAAACTCTGAGGGCACCTTTTACCCCTCTGGATAGCTTGACCTGTGAATGTGAAGCAGGTCACATGATGTGACAGTTTCCATTAGGCAACATTACCTGTTGCTTGATGGAAATAATGCCTGTCAGGGGTCTAGCAGTCCACTAGAAGAGACAGAGAGGAGTCATGGACTTAATTTCCAGCTGTATGTTGATGACACAACTATATAACCCATTCTCTAGTGATATAAAAACAGCCACTTCTAAAACATTGGAATGGCTACAGGAAATTAGGGCCTGGATGAAAGCAGCTGGTTCAAGCTGAGCCTACACAAGACCAAAACAATGCTGGCTGAAAAAGGGAAAAACTTTACAGAGAGTTGGTCAAGCTATTGTCTCCAACTGTAAGAAGATAGTCTCTATGCATCAAAATGGTCTGAAGCCTTGGCATTCTGTCTGACTCATCACTAAACTTGGAGAAGCAGGTAAGAGTGATTTCTAAAAATGCTTTTCTTTGACTCCAGTTTGCTTGAGAAGCTTATCCTTTCCTCCTGGTCAAGGACCTGGTCACCATAACACACATTTAGCACCTGAGTTGGACAGCTGTTATTCCTCAACACTGAAGCTGAATATGATGATGCTCAGCTAAGACAGAATCCACCTACCCACCTGAGCAACCTGTTAGGGTGCTGTGAGCTCAACAGGACTGTGCTGAAGTCCCTCTACTGACACTGATTCCAGTTTAAGGCCTTGACTCTAATTTTCAGGCAAATTAATAGCTCAAACCCTGGCTACAATCAAAGATTTTTGTGCAAGTTTTTCTGTAATAAGTTGTTTCACAGTCTAAACACCACTTTTTTCCTCATCTCTTTCCAATTGGATTTTCCTTCTTTTCTGTCCCCAAATAAATATTACAAACAGAATCTTGATTCCATAAAGGAAGAAGTACCAGAAACACCAAGAAGCTCAACAGTAGCTTTCTACTGTTATTGATTTAACTTGGAATATTTTCAGAGATTATCTGGATTTACCATATTTTTAATGTTCTATTTACATTGAAATCTTGGCAAGTCAGGTTAGTTCATAAAGCAAGTGAGCTGAATGGTAAAAGTAGCGGTAAAGTCCTCCCCTCCTATCTCCATAAATTTCTGCCACAATATCAACCAATTCCTCTTACAAAGAAAACGTGCAATATTTCCATCACTTTAAGTTTACAGTAATTCTTCCAGAAAAACACAATGACAGATGACTTGATCTTCTTCTGAATAAAGCATTTCCTTTTAATCAATTCTTGCTTAGCTGCTCCATCACTGGAATGAGCGCAGTTGTCTACTAGCTGAAAAAATGATTAGATGGCCTCAGTAGGGGAGTTACAAAAGAACTACAAAAGTAGAGCTGGCACAGGCCCTGAACAAAAGACTGGAGGAAAATGCTGCTTAGATGTTGGTTGTCAGAAGAAATTTGTGCTTTCTGCCATTAAAAGCAATGTCCATATAAATGAAGACAATATCAAGGCATAGTTTCTTAGTGTGTTAGGGCCATTGGGCCACATTACATCCATTAAAGTCAATGGCGGTTTTATGGCTGTAACTTCAAGCAAAGATTTTTAAATTCTAAGCAGTATTTGGAGACCCAGCTTCTCTGAGGAAACATCCACATGTACATTAATGTGCTTTTCCTAATGCGCATTAAATTTAGTACTTCCAATGTGAGGTACTAAATTAATGCGCATTAGGCTACCCTTATGCATTATAGCGCAAGCACGTGCTTTTTAGGTGACGCTTAATGTGAAGTAGCTTATTTTACTGTACATTAATGTTATAGCATGGTTTTCTACAAGCTGCTTTAATGTGCAGTAAAATAGGCTACTGCGCATTAAAGCACACATGTAGACATGCCCTGGTACTTTCCAAAGAATACAGTGTTAAAATTTATACTTAGGTCCATCTGTCCTAAGGACAACAGCTCAAGTTAAGCACATGCTTAAATTCTGTTTTGAGTAGGGATGATTTCCTATCAACAGCACAACAAAACTCACTGACACAAGTCTATGGTAGTGCTGGGATACTTCCCCAGCAGAAATTGTGTTATGATCTGAAATCTCATTTTACTGAAGAACACAATGTTGGTGACTTCAGATCCTTTCACTTCTGGAAATATTCAGTCCCTGGTTTATGGAGGGGAAAATAAATATTTAAAAAAAAATTTCTTACCTGAAATTTTATGTTTTGGTCAATGTGAGGTATACAAAACTGTTTCAAGAAGCGGTCGTCTTCACTCCAGAACAGGCGAATATCAGGGATGTCATATAGAATCATGGCCAGTCTTTCTAATCCCAAACCAAACGCCCAGCCAATTTTATCCTGAACACCAGCTGCAATAAATAAATAAGTTCATAAACAAAAACACAAAGCTAGGGAGGGCAGTAGGTAAAAATCCAAGAGCATAAGCATGGACTGTGAAAAAATGCCCATCTCTTTCCCAAGAAGGCAGGAATGAGCATAAAAGAAAAACCAGCAAGTAATTGTTGAATGATGATAAACAAATTGATCCTACTCCCATCAAAGTCAGTGACAAGACCTCACTGGTTAAGTACAGATAGTCAAAAAGCCCGAGACTGAATTGATTCAATCTTGACAGCTTAGTCTAAGTTGTGTAGATTGAACTGATAAGCAAGTGAATAGACATTTACTTGTAATTCCAGAATGCCTGATGTGGCCCAAGACAAAAGCTGGGGGGCATTAAAGCACACTTCCATGTTCCAGTCTTAGGTGGCACATGCTGCCACCACGTGCTTTGTCCCACTTTTTTTGGTGTGGGTATTTTTAACCCCAGGATCCCCCAGGGTCAAGAAAACCCTCCATACAGCAAAACAGCAGTACAGGGAATGCCTGCACGTGCAATGTGTGGGGCCACAGATGGGTCTGCAGTGCCACTTATTGCATATCTGTGCTCATCTGGATGTGCCCTTAGTGTCCTTATAAGGGTTAAATACTTAACAGTGTATTCTATTAAGTTCAACAAAACATACAAACATGAAGTTTCACTCTGATGTATTTTAGCTCAGCGCACAGGCCAAGCTGATGTAGAATCAACATTGTTGCTAACATTTGAAGGCATTTAAATAGTCCTTTTCAAGGTGACAAACACAGACCAACTGTGTGTTCATGTGCAGAGCAAGGGAATTTAAAGCACTGCCTACATTAAGAGCAACACTTCTAACCAGATAATTCTCAGATCAGCACCTACCAATGGCCATTATTCCCAGACATGCTAGGTTTTCTTACTGTATCATTAATACACAATCATCGTCCTATTTAATGATTCTTGGTACTTCTGCAGTCCTATCTGCAGATCTCCATCTTCACAGATGTTGATGACACAAAAACTAAAATATCCTTATCCATGCTATTGACAGAAAAGAAAACAGAGCCACAAAGATATAAAAGTGCAACATTTTCAAAACAGGTGCCTAAAGCTAGAAGCCAAAACTTATCTTTGGGCATCATCTGCCTGGAGCTCAAATAAGTAGCTCCCTTTGAAGTTCAGCACTTTCAAAAAAACCAAGTAAGTGCCTAAATATGAATTTAGATTCTTATTTTTTAAAGCCTTGGCCTGAACAACTTGTCCAAGGTCACGTGGGCAGCTGGATCTAGAATAACATTTCTTGATCACTTCTCTTGGAGGAAATTCCAGCAAGGAGCTCAAAGGATCACTCCCATAATTAAGGCAACTGCTTCTGACCACAGGTGTGCTGTCTTAGGATATGCAGAGAAAGGAGCAACACAAAGTCCTAAATTCATAAAACACGACATCACAAGAGTTAAGAGAGGCCCACAGTCATTCTTTCGACTCTTTTAATTAACTTGAAACAGCTCTGAGTTACTTCAAATACTGAGTCCTCAGCAGGATTGATCTGTGCTTTATTTGTGTCATCAAATATGTTCCATTGTTCTTCAGCGTAAACTGCAGTGGGAGATTAATCCACTTTATAAAGACTAATCCTCCGAGTCAGCATTGTAAGTACTCTGTCCTGAGGATACAGACTCAAGTGCACATTCAAGCCTTTGAAAGTAAGACAGTTTAAATACAATATCATAAATATTACAAGAAATGTCAGCCTGAAGGGGAACTTTAGAGGTCACCTAGTCCATTCCCCTGCACTGAGGTAGGAATGAGTACACTTAGAGCATCCTTGACATTTGTTTGTCCCCACCCTGTCCTTCAAAACCTCCAGAGAAGGAGATTCTACAGCATCCCTAGGTCACCAGAATAAAAATTCCATTATCTTCACAGTTAAAATACTTCCCTAATATTTAGCTTCAATCTTTGCTGCATATTATGTCAGTTACTTCTTGTCTTACCATATTGACTCGAATATAAATCAAATTATTGGAAGATCATTTTATAAATTGTCAAAAATTCTCCAGGTATAGAGTCTAATTATTGGAAATTGTCCTTGAACTTGTCCCCCTCCCACTGCTACATCAGGAAAAATAAATTTGGGAGGTTTATCAACCCTTTGTCCCCCAACTTCTTCTATCTGCAGCCCCTCCCCCTCCTTCCTGTCAGACCCTGGTCTCCCTGAGTGCATGGAAGTGAGGGGCAAATTTGAAAACCCTGACCTTGAAATAAAAATTCCTGTAGTAATTTGCCTATAGTACCCATAGACTTAGGTCATCCAGAATTGATGCATATTACATTTTTTAAATTGCTGTGAGTTTCAGCATAGGTACTCCATAAACATATCTCCAAGCAGCACTTTTATACCTACATATATATAAAACAAACTGGCCACATCTACATGAGATGCTGACTACGTGGTACCC